AAGTTGGGAGGAGAGGGGTCACCGGTCCTGCTCCGGACTCAGACATGGCTGGCCACTGAGGGGACACGCCGAGCAGAATTTGGCCTTTTTCCATAGGGAAATTCACACCTTCCCAGAACCCAGGTGCCCAAACCCATCATCTTCACCTCCTCCTCCCAGGAACAAACCCTGCCCGAGGACATTTTTGAGATGCATCTTTGAATTTTCTGATCCTGGACAACTTTGCTTCTGTCACTATGCAAAGGCCTTAGATTTCTACATGGTTTCTTTGCCTCAAAAAATCAGCAGTGTGGACGGGGGAGGTCTGCTGACAGTGAGGCATTGAAGACTGACCCTTTTGCAGGCTTTGCAGAAAATGTTTGAAAAAACATTTTTGAGATCTCCACCAGAACACCCAATCGGGAAAAGCAGCCAGATTTGGTGCATTTACCAAAAAACTGCAAAAGAACCCCAAATGGCTCATTCACAATGCCCTTCACCCACAGCCTGGTTGGAGCATCCCCTTCCCAACAACCCTGGAGCCCATGCGGTCCCCATATCCCTGCCCCCTCCCAGCACCCACACCCCATCTCTCACACCCACAGTTTGGGAGATACTCACTAAATAAAGAGGACTCCATAGGCAGCCAAGACCAGTCCAGCTGTCCAACACACTGCCACGGCCCCGCTGCCCACCACGGCCCCTTTGTCGCAGATCTTGGTGGTGGGGGGCGGCATGAAAGAGGAGGTGCTAGCGCTCGTTGTCTCTGTGGGGAGGGAGAGTGGATGGCGAGGGGAGCCGGGGTGCCCCGGGATGCGACCCGTCAGGGCAGCCCCTCTCCCCCACTGGTGGGAACAGGGCACTGTCTCATCCCCAAACTGCCTCTCTCACTGTCATGCCACACCAGGGCTGAGCTGGGGGGCTGGCATGATGAGGCAGGGGATGGTGTGGACCATGAGAATTTCCCTAATCTAAGACTGGACGTACTGCTCAGAGAGGGTTGTGCCACCAGCCACAGCTGGACATCCCTCCCAGCCCCATCCAGCCTGGCCAGGCTGCTCTGTGCATCAGGTCTGTGCGAATTTTGGCTAAGAGGTCATGATGACATGGCCACAAGCGCTTAGCAGAGAGTATCCCCTGCCCAGGGAATGCCTGGCTTGTCCTTCTCCAAAAGGGACCAGATGAGGTGTCTGTCCCCATGAAGGGATGCAGGATTGCAGGGAAAGCATGGATGGGCAGTCAGGCTGGGGCAGCTTCGGTCACATACAGAGGGTCCCAGAGTGCCCCTGGCCAGACAATATGGGGTGGGGGGAAGTGCTGGCGGCCACAAAGGAGGCTGTCTTGGCATCTTTCAGACCCCATCAAGGTGTCACAGTGAGGCTTAGCTCCAGAGCCGGGGTGTCCCACATCAGCCCTGCATGGCTGCATGCACAGGGACACGTGTGTGAGGGACACATGTGTGAGGGACATGTGCGTGCCCGCACAGGGAGCAGGCAGGTGCCGTTTGAAGTGGCATTTACATTTAGCACCGTGCAGGCAGGCATAGAAGCAAACCCCAAACCCTGACACCAGCACGGTGTGCCTGCACTCCTTGCGGGGTTTTACCCCGCTGGGGATGAGGGGCTGCAAATCCCTGGTGCTGCCTGAATCCCCAGGTGCTCTACTGGGCTTGTAGAGTGGGGACACTGAGCACACACCACTCA